ACGGACGAGCTACCTCGACGAAATCGCAGACGGTGTGGGCGAGCGATTGCTCACCGTCAACGACAACTTTCTGAACTCGGGCGCATTCAAAGCAGCGGGATGGCGTCCCAACTCGTCCCATATTAAGAGGACGTACTCTCCTCCAATTCCTACAGCCGTTGCGTCCGAATATTTCCAGGCGCCACGACAGCCAGGTCTCACGCTCGAGGATGGCGAGGAGGACGGCGGTATGCTTACGGGCGGAGGAGCGGACACCATGGGCCCCGGGATGGCTACTAAGAGGCGCAGGCGCCGGGAGCAGATGGAGGAGGACGACAGCAGCGACCTGACCGATGAGAGCGACGAAGAACAGGAGCAACGGGCCGCCCAGCAAATCAAATTCGCAAAGATGCCAGTGAGACAGCGAGCAGGGTCATCGCCAGTACAGGTATCCCCTGTGAAGCCCCAGACCTCGCCTCGTGTGCCAAGGCGAGGATCTCAGTCATTTTTGGAGACGGTGCGAGAGCGGCCGCGTAGGGACACGGTCACCAGCAGCGAGATATCCTCCGAGAACGAGTTTGACGTGCCAGCGGCGCTGAGACACCGGGAGGCAGCCCGCGCCGCGGCAAGAGCTGTGCGATTACAAGAAAAGATCAATGAGGAACCCATGCCTCCGGGTCTTCAGAGGGCCGATACACAGCTTCTACCCGAGGAGGAGGAAGATGATTCGGACGAGGGCTCCGACATGTCTGGCGACTACGTTGGGAGTATGGATTCTGCTTCGATTCTCGACGGCGTGGAGAATCCCATCAACCCTTCACCCACACAACAAGTCGTGGGAACACCGCCTCGAAACTTCCCGCGACACTCCATCATTCGCAAGTCGCAGCTACCATCAAAACCTGTTCTTCTAGAAGCTCTTCCCCCGCCCCGGCCCATGAGCATGATTCGACCCGCCAGCTTCGTCCAGCCCACGAGTTTGCTTTCGGCAGCACTGAAAGCCAAGGAGCATAAATCATCTGTCCCCTTTCAAAAGTTTGCCCATTTCAGCGGTCAAGGAACGCAGGGGTCTATCGCTGTGCGAATTTATGCCCCGTTTTGCAAGACGGCAAGCAAGCCCCTTGAGGTACTTATCCGCCCCAGAGTCCACGATGGGCAGAGTGCCGAGCGAGTGGTTTCAGTTACAGACCTGATTGGGCTGAGTCTGTACCGGTACACTGAGGAGAAAAGGGAGCCGCAGATTCCACCCCGCAAGTACAGTGTCAACTGGTGGACCCTGAGAATGGTGGAAGACGGCGAGGTCGACGACGATTTCCCGCCGTTTGAGAGGACAAAGCCGTTGGCTTCATTTACAACAGTCAACAATGCGAGTGCAAGGGGCGGGGGAAGGATGCGGTCCAACTCCACGGCCTACGATGAATTTGCGCTGGTGCCCGCTTCAGAAGAGGAGTACGAAGAAAACAAACGTCTGACCCCTCAGGAAGACGACAACGAAGCCGAGCAGCAGGGGCAACAAGCTGCACCGCCCCTGAGCCGTCCCGTAAGCCACGGTGATGACACTGATTCTAGTCTTAAAAATGCACCTGCGCCGCCGCGTAATCCCCTGGCAGATAGCAGCCGACCGCGACAGAACCCAATTGTGACGACGACCTACCGGCCAAATATGCCTCTGGCTGATTCTCCGCAAGTGCCCGTCACAGTACCAAATACGACCCGTGGCCAGCAGAAGCTACTCCGCGTCCACATCATGTCTTCGGATGTGGCCCCAGGACAAATGGTTACGGTGGACGTCACAACAGATACATACCTCGCCGAAGTGCTCGACATTGTCTGCCGTAAGAGGCAGCTGGACAAGGCTAATCATGTGCTGAAGCTCCCTCGGTCAGGAGCTGTTGTCATGATAGATCGGCCCGTGTCGTCGATTGGCAACGTATCCGATCTGGAGCTGTACAGGAGGCGGTTCGCCACGGACGGCCCGCTGAGCATGGCTGGCTCGCCGAGTAGTTCCTCTCCCAAGACAATGGGTCTCCCCAGCAGCCAGGGCATGTCCCAACGTAGAGAACACAAGAGGGACAAGATGCTCGGGCCGCATCCACTGGCGCAGGAGGCACTAAAGCAAGACGAGTTTGGCACCGCCAACTACAAGAAGTATACTGTTTGGCGAAAGCAGCCGATGCGTCTCGTGGGCATGAGTGAGCGGATTCTAGTCATTGACGGCGAATATATCCACATTGTCCCGGCGTCTGGGGGCAAGGCGGTCCACGACGGCGGCGGGAAGACGACAACAGTTCACTTTAGCAACGTGGTAGGCTGCAAGGTGCCGCGAAAACACCCGACAAATGTCAAGGTATGTGTATGCGGGCTCTATCTCGGGCTCTATATGAAACTTTCTTTCTTTCTTTCTTTGCCCTTGCATTGCTACATTTTCCAGAAAAAGAATAACCCATGCATTTGCAGAGGCGTGGACAATTACTTGTATCAACGCTTTGGGGGAGTATAATGCTGACTCGGACTGGACCGGTGCGGTCCCAAAATAGCTGGTGATTTACAGAGCCACAGAGAGCAAGCGATATGATTTCGAGGCTCGCGGAGCCGACGAGGCAGCAGAGATTGTGGCCGAGTTGAAGAAAGGTATTTCGCCGTATAGAGAAGTGTAGATTTGCGGTGGCGCGTGTGGCAGATGCCGGGCCACGCAACGATACCGCTGAATAGAGAAGAGGTGGTACCCGTTACAGCAAGACCTATCAGGCCTGTCGGCCGTGTAACTGAGTGGCTGCAAAGCCAAGGGCCAGATCAGCTCAGGCAACCATTTTACGGCTTACGCATGCTGGGAAGGAGGGGCGACCCCGAACTCCGAAGGAGTTTGACTTTGGTGGACGGACAACAAAGAGCATAGACGCGGCGGGTGGCTGTGTTGTGTGGGGAGTTGAAGACTGAGCCCAAGATGCGCGGCCGTTTGAGCATCCGTGGGCTTCGGTGTGGTGTATGCCGATCTAGACAACTGCGAAATCTTGCTTCAAAATGTACCTAGGAATGGAGTATTCCGAGAAACCAGGCTGGTCTCGTATGAGATCTTGGTATGGCGCCATTGAACAAGAATAAGACGCACGTGCGTCTTGGCAGCTGAAGGCCATGAATTGCAGCTCGATTCGGCACTCCCAAGTATATCCTAGGTAGACGGAAGAAAGAGCACATCATTATAATACGTGTAACAATGAACCCGTTGTGTTGCAATCATGTCAATGCACCACGACGCGTGGTGCAGCACCTTCTTGTGCGCAATCTGCAAGATGCACATCCCGCCGCAGCCATCGAGCCTCGTGGCGAAAGAGAAAAAAAAAAAAAGGCGGCAAATGAGGCGGCTTGTCATCCGATTCGGGCCTGAATTGCAGCTCGATTCGGCACTCCCAAGTATATCCTAGGTAGACGGAAGAAAGAGCACATCATTATAATACGTGTAACAATGAACCCGTTGTGTTGCAATCATGTCAATGCACCACGACGCGTGGTGCAGCACCTTCTTGTGCGCAATCTGCAAGATGCACATCCCGCCGCAGCCATCGAGCCTCGTGGCGAAAGAGAAAAAAAAAAAAAGGCGGCACATGAGGCGGCTTGTCATCCGAGTCGGGCTCTAGATTCGTGGCATGGCATTTTCACCGCGTCTTCTACTACGTACACGGAGAAGAAGCTGTCTTGTTCGTGCCAAGGACAGCGGTACGTGGTGCGTGGTGCGTGGTGCGTGGTGCGTTGGCCGTTGGGACGTCAAACGTTGGACGTTGCGTGTTGCGTGACTGATAATTCTATACTGGTGGCACTGCATTCAACTGCGTCGCACATTTTCTGAGGATTTGCAGTCGCAGTCCTCCTTTTTTCTCGCACTCCATGATGCGTGTATGGAGTGGCCGCCCCTCGGGTCCCCCAAGCAACAGCACTCCGTAAGAAGATTCCCAGTTTGATGCTGATGCTGATGCTGATGCTGGTGCTGATCCTGATCCTTAGTACCATGACAAGCAACAACTCTTGCAGGAAGGATCCACCATGACGCAAGATTGAAGGAGTCTGGTCCACCTCGCGAGCCATGCTGCACGAGCATCACGAACCCAGGAGTACGGAGCACATGTGGCTGAGCGACCAGATGGTTCAGCTCCATGAACCCATGGGTGACGCCACCGCGCTGGCCGGCGGTTTGTTTCAATGCTCAGGATTAGGAACTATGTACTAGTACGGAGTAGTCAGTACGGCGTCTTCCCAGTTGTGCTGAGATGGGGGAACGCGCAGCAAGGAACAGGGCTTCTGGGGTCTGGTCTGCTGCTTGTCGAGCTCCTGCTGTTGTCGGGGTGCCACGTACATAACACAGAGTGCTCTCGACCGCGATATTACGGACCGTCCTTAATGGGCGTACGGAGGTATCACAGAGTGGTGAAATAACTGGGGTCGCCGTCGTCTTGAGTCGTCGGTCTGATGTTTGTTGGGTGATGCTGCATGCCTCGGTGAGCATATTGATGAATTAATTGGCTTTTGCTCTGATGGCCATTCAGTCTGCGAGACTGCCGAGTAGGACAGAGCCAACTGAACTGGTACTCGTCTTCCCTCTCCTGCAGGAGGCAGCCGGCGTTCTCTTGGCGATTCAGCAGATCGCCAAACTTAATCACGGCCAAACTAACCAGGGCTTGTTGGACCCCAGGACGAAGAGCAAGAAAAAGGTGGGTGTGGGGTCCCAAAGAGGCGTTGATGCGCTGCTGAGGCAATAGCCACGCCGAGATTAGAAAGTGGGTTTGGATGACGATTGACTACAAACCAACAAGGAGTCCACCAAGGCAGTCGACCAGGGAGAAGCCCAACAGGGCATCGCCGTGTCAACCGAAATACCGAAATGAGGATTATGGAGCAGATATTTAAAGTACTCAAGGGAGCCTAGGGTTTTCTCTCTCGTGCTCCCTTGGCCATTCGTCTGACCTTGACTACTTTCGAATATACAACACCACCATCTTCATCGCAACTACAACACGCCATCCTTCATCATGAAGTTCTCTAGCACCGCTATTCTCGCCCTCGCTGCCGCCGTCCAGGTCTGTCCCCTCCCCTCCAATGCTGTCGTTCATCCAATTTACAACCACAAACCTTTAAACACTAACATCCCGGTAGGCCGCGCCTGAGCCTCAGCCCGACATCTGGGGCGACATCACCAGCGGCGCAGGCGGCATCATCTCGGACGTGTCGACCTTTGTCGACGGCGCCAAGTCGCACGCCTCGACCTGGGCCGACGGAGCATCCACCTGGGCCGAGGGAGCCAAGTCACACGCGTCCACCTTTGTTGCGGGAGTCAACTCGGACGCCTCGACCTTTGTCGACGGCGCAAAGTCGCACGCGTCCACCTTTCTCGCCGGCGTCTCCAGCGACGTCGCAAAGGCCACCAGCGAGGCCGGCGTCAAGGCCTCCAGCCTGAGCCAGTTCATTGCTACCGCCACCGGATCCGCCAAGTCCAGCGCCGAGAGCGAGCTGTCCAAGGTGACGAGCTCCCTGGCCGCTGCTACCGGCTCCTCCGCCTCCGCCTCTGCCTCGGCGTCGAGCACATCGTCGAGCACCGCCGGCGGTGCCTACGGCCCTGCTCCCACCGCTGCCAAGGCCGGCG